TAAATTCTCCAGGATTATTTGCCCTTTGACAGTTATGAAAGCAGCTGCTTCTTCTTCTTTTCCTTCTTCCTCTTCCTCCTCTTTTTCTTCCTCTTCCTCCTCTTTTTCTTCCTCTTCCTCTTCTTCCTTCTTTCCTCCTCCTCCACCTGTTTGTTTGGACTTGAACTCAGGGCTTGGTGCTATCCTTTAGCTTGGACTCTTAAGGCTGTGGTGCACTACCATTTGAGCCATACCCCCACCTCTGGATTCTGCTGGTGAACCATTTTAGGGTCTCACGACTTTGTCTGCCCTTGGGCTGGCTTTGAAGCAGTGATCGTCAGGTCACAGCCCCCAAGTGTCTTGGATTGTAGGCAGGAGGTACTGGTGCCTGACTTAACAGACATCTCTCATCTTCCTCCACTGTTGGTTTATAACACTCAGACAACACAAGGACACTGGATCCGCCCCATTGCGTCCTCTGTCTCATCCACAGATGCTGATTAGACTGGCCATTGGGTGAGGCTGGTCCTGGGGTCTTGCCTGGCTGGCCTTGAACCCCCATTCTCCTGATCCCAGCCTCCCGAGTACCTGGGGTTCCACACATGAAACACCGTGTGGGTGAAAACTACATCGTGCTTTTATTTTTTGGTGCCAGTCCTGGGGTTTGCATCCAGGGTCTGGGCATGCAAGGCTGGTGGTGCTTTACTGCTTGGGTCACGGTGCCACTTCCGGCTTTTTTGGTCATTAACTAGAGGTCAGAGGCTCCTCCTTTTCCTGCCCGTTGCAGCCTCCTGAGCAGCCGGGGTGACACGGGGCAGGCAGTGGGGTAACATGGAGCAGCGGGGTGACACTGAGCAGCAAGATGACATGAGGTGGACAGCTTTCTCCTCAGAATGGGGTGCACACAAGATGGACGATGTTCTCCTCCGGTATGGGGTACATATGAGGTGGACGAGGATGAGAGGGGGAGGTGGAGAGCGTGGCCATCAAACTCAATGGACATTCTACAGAATTAAAAAAACTGCTGGTGCCAGTGGCTCATGCCTGTCATCCCAGCTAATCAGGAGGAGGCCGAGAGCTGGAGGGTGGTGGTTCAAAGCCAGCCAGGGCAGGAATGTCCCTGAGACTCACCTCTCTAATGACCTCCAAACAAACTAGAAGTGGTGCTGTGGTTCAAGAAGAAGAGCACTTGCCCTGAGCAAAAGGACTAAAGGACAGTGCTCAGGCCCCGAGTTCAAGGCGCGGTAGGGAGAGGGGGAGTGGAAGGAGAGGGGGAAGGAGGGGTCCGGGTGTGAGGGAAAGCCCCAGCCCAGCATGGTACCTGCTAGCACATGCACCCACAAGTGGCCAGCTGCCTTGGGGGAGAGTATATTTATCCTGATGGTGTGTCATGAAATTTCTTTTAAAGACACCCACTTACCCAGTGGCTGCCACTGCTTGTCATACTCAGTAAGAACGAAATGACAGGGGTGGAGAAAAATAAAAGGATCACATTTCCTCTCATTAGAACCTGCACTCAATCAAACCTGCTGAAAGTCTAGCTAAAGTTAGCATAGGGTCTGAGCTTCCAGAAAACCTCTCACTGTGTCCAAGACCACTAAAAATACAACAAAACCGTTAGGTCTCACGGGACTGAGGGGAGCCTATAAATAAAGGGAACCCTGGAGACTACCATCAATTGGGTCCTACTGACAAGAACCTAGGTGTATGAAATCACAGTGGGTGTGAACCATCGCTCACTCATTCCTCCCACTACCAGAAAGCGAGCTTAACAGAAAAGCAGTTAGGCTTATAAAGACACGATGCCAATCTATTTAGGAAAACAAACACGCACCTAATCTACTTTGAATCTTGACTCTCAAGATTAAAAACAAATTTCAAGCCAGGCACTGATGGCTCATGCCTGTTACCCTAGCTACTCAAGAGGCTGGGATTGGGGCTGGGAAGGTGGCTCAGTGGTAGAGCGCTTGCCTTGCATGCATGAGGCCCTGGGTTCGATTCCCCAACACCACATAAGCAAAAAGAAAAAAAGCTGGAAGTGGCGCTGTGGCTCAAGTAGTAGAGCGCTAGCCTTGAGCTGAAGAGCTGAGGGACAGCACCCCAAGACCGGACCCAAAAAAAAAAAAAAAGAGGCTGTGATTGAGTATCATGGTTCGAAACCAGCCTCGGGAGAAAAGTCCAGAGTCTCTGATCTGCAAGGAACCAGCAAAAGGCCAGAAGCAGAGCTGAGGCTCAAGCAACAGAGGGCCAGGCTGGAGCCACAGAGCCAAGCAGGAGTGCCAAGGCCCAGAGCCGGCACAAAACAACCAGCACTGCAGATCAGGTCTCGAATGGAAGAAGGCACTGCAGAATGCTGGGCCAGGAGGAGGAGGAGGACAGAGGTCAGGGGCTAGGGTGATCACGCCAGGAGGAGGGGGAGGGAGAGGAAGGGGAGGAGGAGGGGGAGGAAGAAGTGGAGGAAGAAGAAGAAGAGGAAGAGGGGGAGGAGAGGAAGAGGAGGAGAGGGAAGGGGAGGAAGGGGAGGAGGAGGAGGACAATAAGGAGGAGGAGGAGGAAGAGGAAGGGGGAGGAGAGGGGAGGGAAAGGAGGAAGGGGAGGAGGAGGGGGAGGATAACCATTTGCAGCCAGGTACTGATGGCTCACACCTGTCATCCCAGCTACTCAGGAGGATCTGAGGATCGCCGTTCAAAGCCAGCTGAGGTAGGGAAGTCCATGAGACTCATCTCCAATGAACCACAGAAAACCAGAAGTGGTACTGTGGCTCAAGAGGTAGAGTATCAGACTTGAGCAAAAGAAGCTCAGGGACAGCGCCCCGGACTGGCACCAAAAAAAAAAAAAAGTTTGTAAAATTTTGAGGGTCAGTATTTGTGGAACAGCCCTTCTAGAAGAGGAAGTGTAAGAGAAAAATGTCCCCTCCCCAGTAAATATAAACCACCAACTGCAGACACTCAAAGCCCACGCGTGCACACTTGTCCTAAATAGCTAAACGCCCTTCCCGGCACAGCACTTACACTGGTGGTTGAACAGGAGAGCGCACTGTTTATAAACTTGTGGCCAGCAGCCTCCATCCCAGGGCAGCTGGTAGGGTCCTGACTTGAGTCCTGGCTACAGAAACAGCCTCGCCCAGGGGAAAGAATGACAGGGATGGGCACGGAAGCTCACGCCTGTCCTCCCAGCTACTCAGGAGGCTGAGATCTGAGGATCGAGATTCAAAGCCAGCCTGGGCAGGAATGTCTATGAGACTTATCTTCAGTGAACCACCAGAAAACAGAAGTGGAGCTGTGGCTCAAAGTGGTAGAGCACCAGCCTGGAGTGAAAAGAGCTCAGAGATGGTGTCCAGGCCCAGAGTTCAAGCCCCAAGACCAAAATAATAATAATAATAACAACAACAACAATAAAATGTTGGCAATAACGTATAATCCAACCAAGCAATAACCACATGGACAGTCTGCTATATTAGATTCCATGCTAGGTGTCTCAAGTGTATCCACCCTGCAAAATGAAATTCTTTTTGTTTGCTTATGTTTGTAGCTGTTATTGTTGTTTGAGACAGGTTGTACAATGGCAGCCTAGGTTGGCCTTGAACTCACCATATAGCCTGGGCTGCCCCTGCACAAGTGATGGGGCTGAGATTATAGGCATGAGCCATGACACTCTACAACTGTTAATTTGTGTGTGTGCTTTGTGTGTGTGTGCGTGCATGCGCGTGTGTGCGTGCTCAGGTACCAGGGCTTGAACTGAGGGCCTTGTACTCTTGCTTGGCTTTTTCACCCAAGGTGGGCGTTTTACCACTTGAGCCATGCCTCTCCCCCTAGCTTATTTTTTTTTGTTTTCCTGGTTAAGTGGAGGTAAGAGGCTTAACGGATTTTCCTGCCTGGACTGGCTCTGAACCATGATCCTCAGGTCTCGGCCTCCTGAGCAGCTGGGGTTCACCAGCGGCCCTGGCAACCTTAGATTATACGACCCCATTCAGGGTTAGTTAAGCGTTAGCATGACCATTTTGGAGATCAGGAGACAGTGTCATGGTGCTCACTCAGCTGTGTCCGCACAGGGCCTGTGCATGAGACTTCACACGCCTCCTACTCACGACAAAGCTTCCCCCCCTTGTGCCCTCTGGCCCTATGTAGGGGGGACAAAGCTGACCGATTCTGCCACCCACCCTGCCAGGACTCCCCCCACACACAGAGGCCACTCCATAAGTAAACGATCTGTAACTAAACAAAGCCTGGCCTCCCCAATTACCAAGCAAAGAATATTTAACAAATATTCAGCGGCGGAGAAAAACATTTGCAAGTTTTATTTAGAGAGAAAAGAGGCCTAAAAGCACGTCTTCCTAAAATAAATAGAAAACCATAGAACAAGGACCAAAAAAAAAAAGTCTAACCAGATTTCAAATGCAGAAACTCTAACTAGGAGCTGCTACATAATAATGGAAACACAGGCTTCAGGTACAGTGTGATCCAGCATCAAGCCCTCTGAAAGACAACTGGTCTCAAGGGGAAATCTCCCTGAGGCATAAGCCAAGGCCAGGGCCGTCACTGAACTCCTGTAATCCCTCCCAGAGTTCAACACCATAAGATAAAGAAAAGTACAGTCCAAGGGAGCAATGGCCAAAGAAAAGAAGTAAGACATTTCCTTCCCATGAAATAAAACGTTCAAAGTTGGGACAAAGGAGCGCTGGCCAACAGTGGCTCACACCTGTCATCCTAGCGAGCCAGAGTCTGAGATCCAGACAATCATGATTCAAAACCAACTCCAACAGACCAAGAGACTCTTCTCTTCTCAATGAAATACCCCCCCAAAAGCCAGAAGTGGAGGCGTGGCTCAAATGGTAGAGCACCAGCCTTGAGTGCAAAAACTAAGGTGTGATAGAGCCCGACCGGCCCTGAGTTCAAGTCCCAACAAAGATCAGTAAAACAAACCAAACCAACAATAACACAGAAGAGAGTGTGGTTCCCCTCCCTTCCAGAAGAGCAATTAAGAGATCGGAATCTGAGTGTGAAAATGAAGAAGAACCTGACCTTGACGTGGGCCGTGTAGTCCCGGCAGTCCTCCTCCCCATGGGTCAGATGCAATGTCTCTGCCACCTGGCCAGCAGACTCTCCGGACACAACCAGGTAGACTCTGGGTGGCTGGCCTTTTTCCTTTTGGACCACGTCGGCGGTCAGGACGTAATTGAGTTCTGCCAAATGAACCACAGGCGAGAAGATCAGCAAAGGTAAGACTCCAGACGGCGAAGCCCCGTGTCCACAGAGAAGTCTGGCACCACTGGCTCACGCCTGTCATCCCAGCTACCCAGGAGGCCTAGATCTGATGATCGCAGTTCCAAGCCAGCCTGGGCAAGAAAGCCCGTGAGACTCTCATCTCCAGTGGACCAACCAAAAGAGCCAGAAGGGGCACCCATGGCTCAAGTGGTAGAATGCCAGCCTTGAGCACAAAAGCTCAGGGACTGCGCCCAGGCTGTGCGTTCAAGCTCCATTATTAGAATAATGACAATGATGATGATGATAACAATGGCACTGATCTTTGTACCATCAAAGGGCCAGCTCACCAGGGAAAGCCAGGGAGGGAAGGTGGCCTGAGCAGGCCTCTGGGAGTGAACCCAGGGCCTATTTTTGCTGCTTCTAATGGCTTCCCTGGGGTGCTTCCATGCAGCGCTAGCAGATTCCTGGCCAGGGAGTCTGCCTCGGCTTGTTTCAGAAATAGGTGATTTCCAAGGCAAGGCTGGACTAGTGGGAGGGACCCGGGATGGACACGATCATCCCAGGAGAAAGCATACCACTCAAAAGAAAAGGATGAGTTAGGTGCTGGTGGCTCACGCCTGTCATCCCAACTACTCAGGAAGCTGAGATCTGGGGATCAGGGTTCAAAGCCAGCCCAGGCAGGAAAGTCTGAGACTCTGACCTCCAGTGAACCACCAGAAAACCAGAAGTGAAGCTGTAGTTCAAGTGGTAGAGCACTCGCCTTGAGCTGAAGAGCTCAGAGACAGCACCCAGACCCTTGACTTCAAGCCCAGGACTGGCACAAAACAAACAAAAACCCTAGAAAGACATGGGGCCTGGGTCCTCCAGAGAAAGGACTTGCTTCATGTACTGCTGAGCAGAGTTCAGAATGCAGAGTTCAGAATACCACACACACACACATACGAGTCCTGGGGCTTGAACTCAAAAGCATGGGCACTGTCTCTGAGCTTTTTTGCTCAAGGCTGGTGCTCTACCACTTAAGTTACAGCTCCAGTTCTGGCTTTTTGCTGGTTCATTGGAGATAAGACTCTCACGGACTTCCCTGCCCAGGCTGGTTTCAAACCAGTGATCCTCAGATCTCAGCCTCCTGATTAGCTAGGGTGACAGGCCTGAGCCACAGTGACTGGTTAGAATTTTTTTTTAACATCACCTGACTACAAATTCTCTCTCCCCTTCCTCTCCCCCCCCCATTTGCATGCTGTTTTCCTGCCTCTTTTTGTCTCTCTCTCTCTCTCACGCTCTGTCTCTTTTCCTGTCTTCCTGTCTCTGTCTGTCTGTCTCTTTGTCTCTCTCTCTCTGCAGAATCAAGCACACCCAGACTCCCAGGACGAAACCCTGCCTAATTTGTTGTCTACGAGTCCCAGAGTCCGAAAGCATCAGCCCACAAAGGGGAAGTGCCTGGGAATGACGTAGTCTTCAAGGCTCCTTCCAGTGACGCTTCTGGCTGGAGACGCCCTGCTCAGAAGCAGGGTGAGAGAGCTGGAAGAACTTCAGCCAGACACCAACGAGGGGTGCTTGTGGCAGAGTCCCACTTCTCTTGACCCCTACTTAGCAATCCTCCCAGGGAAAAGGAAATATGCCCCCCCCACCCTGCGCCCCGAGATTGGAATATGAAGAACACAGCAGAGAAGTGAGCTTCCTGACAATGTGCTAGCTCAGTACAGAGCAAGGCTGGGTGGAAATGAGTACAGGAAGATGGGGTGACAGCGAACCCCCATGCACTTCCTCCTGGCCTCCATTGACTCTGGTGTGTGTGCGCATGCACGTGTCTGGGCATGCACTCATGTGTGCTGGTCCTGGGACTTGAACTCAGGACCTGGGCTCTTGTCCCTTAGATTTTTTTCATTCAAGGCTGGCCCTCTACCACTTGAGGTACACCTCCATGCCAGCTTTTTGCTAGTTCACTGGGCATACGGGTCTCACAAACTTTCCTATCCAAGCTCGCTCTTCGGATCTCAGCATTCTGTGCGGCTGGGATTCCAGGAGTGAGCCACAGGAGCCCTTCTCCATGGGTGAGCTCCTGCCAGCCGTGAGCCCCATGTGGGAGAGCATGCGATCAGCCTGCCTGGTTCAGGGCTGCCGCTCAGGCTGGCCTCATGGCCCCCCCTGGGGTGCTGGTGGGGGGTCCCCTAATCCAACCCAGCCCAGCCAGGCCCAAGCTGGGATTCAGCCAGCCCCAACCACATGTTTCCCGCCTTCAGACCTCTCCTCTGGCAGCTGTTCTGCGCCCTGTCAAGTGATGTCATGTTGATGGAAAGGCTGACACGGACTCCCCCCCCCGCCCCCCACCTCCCCATGACACGGTAATGCATTTCAGCCGGTCTTCACGAGGCTCCCCGGCCCCCCAGGCTCAGCCAGGAGAAGCAGCTGCCCCCCGTCAGCATAGCTCCGGCCCTTCCCGGCTTGCTGTGTCAGAGCCAGGCCTCGGCTGTGACATTCTCCTAGTAAATCTCCTTCAGTGGTGGAGGGCGGGGTGGGAGAGGAGCAACCCCACTCTCTGGTTTTCCTGAACGTTCTGTCTTCTCAAGGAATGAAGGCAGAGATGAAGATTTCCGCAAGGCCCTCCTCCCAACACAGACGTTTTCCCCCCTCCGTCCCCAGGCCTTCTTTGCTTTTTTTCCTTTTTAATTACTACTATCTGGAAGTAATCGGACAAAGCGATTTCAAATGTAACATAGCAACGTAACATAGTAGGGCTGTACAGACCGATTTCCCCTGGAATGCGTCTGCCGTGGAACCGGAAGCAGGTGGTGACAGTCAGGCAGGTGACAGGCTGCTGGCCGTCGTGGCACCGCGGGGCTGTGATGTTGATGGACTCGGGGAGGAAGATGGAGGCGTCCACCGTAATGACAGGCCTGGCTCTGCCGGACAAAAGTCAAGCGGGTTACTCACCCCTCAGCATCAGACCAGAGGAGGCCAGTCACCCCAGCTACTCAGCAGGAGACAGAGGGGTTGTATTTGAAAGTTGGCCAGGAGAGAAAAATCCCTGAAGCTTATCTCCAAGTGGTTGAAGTGGGAGGACACCAGCCTTCAGCAAAAAAAAACGAAGGAATGGTGCTGGGGTCCCTGAGTTCAAGTCCCAGTACTAACACCAAAAGAAAGGAAGGAAGGAAGGGAGGGAGGGAGAGAGGGAAGGAGGAAGGAATGAAGGAAATGAATGAACTACACAAACATAGATAAGGAACATTAAAAATATTAGTCTTCAATTCAAATATGAATGATGCAGCTATGAAGGGCCAGAGTGTTCTGTTAAGTACAAATCTGCTCAATAATACTGGCAATGATACCTTAAAACAATAAAAAGAAATGTGAGCCAGATGCTGCTGGCTCACGCCTATCATCCTAGTTCCTCAGGAGGCTGAGATCTGGAGGATCACAATTCAAAGCCAGCCCAGGCAGGAAAGTCCCTGAGACTCTCATCTCCAATGAGCCACCAGAAAACCTGAAGTGGTGCTGTGGCTCAAATGGTAGAGCGCTTGCCTTTTGCAAAAGAGCTCAGTGACAGAGCCCAAGCCCTGAGTTCAAGTCCCATGACGGACAAAAGAAAAACAAATTGGAACATCACTAATCATTAGCTTACTACCAGTTAGCATCCCATTAATAAAAACAAGTTCATGATTAATGTAAAACACATCTGGTTGAAGCCACAGAAATGAACGACCCACTGCTGGTGGTATTTAAAAGTTCATTAAGTACAGGGAGAGACGGGGGGCGGGGTGGAGGGGAGCGTGGAGAAAGGGCGATGTGGTCAAGCTGCACATGCCCACTCACCGGCCGTGGAACTGAACGGGGTGGGGCACAGCTACTTCAGGACAATTATTTGGAGGAGATGGAGTGTACTTTTGAGAAGTTCCTCCCATGGAAGTCATGATTCAAGAATTACTTGTGTGTGCACGTGTGCCAGGCATAGAGCGTTAGCTCTGGTGCTTTTGCTCACAGCTGGTGCTCTGCGTGAGCCACACCTCCACTTGACTGGCACACTGGAGATTCCCCTGAAGGGCACAGCAATGGAGGGGTTAAGGCGTGAGCACACAGAGCCGTGGTCCTCACTGGACACTGTGTGGACAATGAACTCTATACCTTGTGGGTGGGGACAGGAGAGAAAATTAAAAAATAAAAAAAAATATTTTTACAAAAGAGCGAGAGATTTCCCCATTGTGCCACTGTGAGCACAAACTGCTGTGATCCTGTCCTGGCTAGCCAAGGCGCCTCCTTTGTTTTTCCACCTCGATCACTCACTAAAGCGTGTGCTCAAAGAACCTGATTGATGAGGTCTGGTAACAGCAGGGCACTTTTAAGAGCAGGAGAAATGGCCCGTGCATAGCTCCGGCTCGGAACCACGGGGAAACCCCTTCCTTCCCCAGACCACGACATGGGGCACCCCTAGATTTCAAAGGTTGGATGCTGCTGGGGTCAAGGGGCAAAAAGCTGAGAGGAATTTGGTACACATCTGCTCACGTCCTCTTCCTCCCCCCCCCTTGCCTCTTGTGGGGGGGAGAGGAAGGGGGGAGGGTCTTGTAAAGAAATCCTTTTAAGTCTAGGAGTCCTGGCCTTCCTGCCTCCGGGTGACATAACAAGATTAAGGGACATTAGCGGCTTAGGGATAATGACCTCATACGCATACAATGCTCCCTACACAATGCTCTGAGTGTGCCCAAGGTGGCAGGGCCAGAACTAACATCCACCCAACTTCAAGAAGAGAAGGCAGGAAAGAAAATGGGGTGTGTTTTTGCTCAAGGCTGGAGCTCTATCACTTGAGTCACAGTGTCATTGCTAGCTTTCTGGTGGTTCATTACAGGTAAGAGGCTCACAGAGTTTTCTGCCCAGGCTGGCCTTAAACTATGATCCTCATCTCAGCCTCGTGAGTAGCTAGGATGACAGTGATGAGCCACCTCCCCCTGCCTGCACTGCTGGCTCCCTCTTGTCCCTGACCCCTACTCCCTTCTGAGGGCACCCCCTTCCCCTTACTCTCAGCCACAGCTCCAGTGGGGTCTCCTGGGGCCCCAAATCCGTCTCAGGAGCTGGTTCAGTACAGGCTCCCTCCCTCAGCCTGGAGCTGGGGCCTGATCTTGCCTCTCACCTACTTCACCCTTCCCACCCCTGGAAACAGCGGACTCCCTCTCTCTGTCTCTCTTTGTCCGCCTGTCTTTTTCACCTGGTCTCTGTCCCTCTGTTTCGTTTTTTGGAGACAAATTTGACCAGATTTACATAAGACATTGTAGAATTTATTAGGCTCTCACACCGGGCAATGTCGCTAAACATTTCAGATGTATGAACCCCAGAACTATCGTTACTCAGCGTCACTGAGAACTCTGGGACAGAAGAAGGGTCAGAGGCCTTGCCAAGGAAGAACCAAGGCAGGATTTGAACCCAGGCCACATGATCTCGAAGTCATACTGAACCTCAGAGCTATGTCTTAAAAATGCAGTGTTCAGAGTTAACTTGGGGCCGGTTGCTTCTTTTGAAATTAGTAAGTTCTAGCCCGGCACCGGTAGCTCATGTCTGTCATCCTAGTTACTCAGGAGGCTGAGATCTGAGAATCGCAGTTCAAAGCCAGCCCAGGCAGGAAAGGCCATGAGATTCTTTTTTTTTTTTAAGATTCTTTTTCTTTTATTAATCTTATGTGGTACCAAGGAATCGAACCTAGGGCCTCATGCATGCTAGGCAAGCACTTTACCACTGAGCCACATTCCCTGCCCCGGCCATGAGACTCTTATCTCCAATAAAACCACCAGAAAGGGCTGGGAAGGTGGCTCAGTGGTAGAGCGCTTGCCTTGCATGCCTGAGGCCCTGGGTTCGATTCCTCAGCACCACATAAACAAAAAGAAAAAAGCCGGAAGTGACGCTGTGGCTCAAGTGGTAAAGCGCTAGCCTTGAGCTGAAGAGCTGAGGGACAGCGCCCAGGCCCAGAGTTCAAGCCCCATGATTGACAAAAAAAAAAGAAATTAGTAAGTTCTCATTCAAGAAGAGACTTGTGCCCCTTGGGGAGAGACTCTGAGGCGGAGAGGGTTAGCAGGAAAGGAGAAGAATCTGGGGCTTGGATCCGACATGGCCTCTGGGATCTTGTCCAGCTGTGAGATTCCTACTGGTCTATTTTAGAACATTCTGCCACACAAGGTTCTGCACAAAGTGAAGTGTTGGCTCTTGCTCTGAAATGCATGGCTGACTCTCTGACTCACCCAGACAGAAATACAGCCCGGGGGGGGGGGGCGGGGAGGACAGTCCGCAGGTGGCTGTGGTAAATCCCTGGATCCTGGTCTGCAGGGGTGAAAGCTGGTGGTGTTGGCCAAGGCTTCCTGGATCTCTGAGCATCATGATGATACTTATATAGCACACAAGTACAAGAATCTCAGCAGGGCACCAGTGGCTCATGCATGTCATCCTAGCTACTCAGGAGGCTGAGATACAGAGGACTGCAGTTCAAAGCCAGCTTGTGCAGGAAAGTCGAGATTGTCATCGCCAATGAACCACCAGAAAACTGGAAGTGGCACCATATATATGGCTCAAAGTGGTAGAACTCCAGCCCTGAGCACAAAGAGCTCAGGGACAGCGCTCAGGCCCTGTATTCAAGCCCCAGGACTGAAAAAAACAGAACAAAACCAAAAGCCAATAGCCCTTATAGCTCTTGGGTTTATGGGCTGAATCTATCCAAAGCTACCCAGGAACTCCAGAGAGCCATTATCTCCTATCTACAACTCAAAGTCCACTGGTTATGACTTTGGAATAGAGAAGAAGAATGAGAAAATGAAGCACGCACTCCTCTGTCCCGTGAAGATAAGACACCGGGAAAGCACTCACTGGTGGTGCTTCACTCCCCTATCCATTACCCCATGGACAAGGAAACCAAGCACAGAGACGGCACTCACCTCAAGAGAACCACACTGTCGGACATGAAGGCTCCCACAGTGACATCTGAAATCAAGGAGAAGTCGTGACAATCAGAATCTAGTGGGAGCCGCCCCCCACCCCCACCCCGTTATGGCCACAAAGGCCTGGCCCTGACGGCCAAGACTGGCCACGTCATGACTTTGCAGAACCAGAGCCACGTTGCTCAAAATGGCAGCCAAGTCACGTGGCCACTCAGGCTTTGAAAAGTGGCTTCCGGGAACTGACGAAACATGTTTCAAAGACCCAATTTCAAAATTAGTTCATTCACACCAACATTTTATAATTCGTCAATGAATCTTATAGGGCTTGTACGTTAGAATAATAAAACATTGGCTATATTAGGCTACACCCTAGGTAAATTGGCCTCAGCCAATCTGCATTTCTATGGAGTCTCTACTATACACAATCTACACGTTTATACACACATATCACAACTCACATTTATAGGTAAATATAATTTGTATATATGTAAATTCACAATTTACATGTGAGTTACATAGGTACCTCATTATTATTATTGTTAATTATTGCTAGTATTTCCCCTCTGATAATTCTTTGGATATGAGTGAATTAAAGACAATACCTAGTACAAGTAGAAAAAAGGGGGGAAGAAAGAAAAAGAAAGAAGGAAGGAGAAAGAAAGAAAAAAGGAAGGAAGGAAGGAGGAAGGAAGGCAGGAAAGCAGGAAGGAGAAATAAAGTACAAAGCTTCAGAATAAGGTTAAAATGAGGTTTCACTATCAATCATTTGCAATGTGAGTAAGATTTTTTAAAAATTCTTCAGTAGTAGTTCTGTTATAGAAATCTCCCCAAATCCACCCTTGTGGTATTTAACCCCATCAAAGGAGATCATGTAAGCACTCAAAAATAAAAGTTGGGGCTCTGATGGCTCACACCTGTCATCCCAGTCTCAGGAGGCCGAGATTTGAAGGATCAAGGCTCGAAGCCAGCCAGGACAGGAAAGTCCATGAAACTCATCTCGCCAGTGAACCACCAAAAACTGGACATCTCACCATCATGGCTCAAAGTGGTAGAACACCAGCTTTGAGCACAAAGAGGCTCAAGGACAGTGCCCAGGCCCTGAGTTCAAGACCCAGGACCAAAAATAAATAGATAAAGTAAAAACTTTAAGAACAATCTGCTTGTCAAATTGACCACCAGGTAGGCAAAGCTCCCTCTATACCCCAGTTCTACTGTGTGCCTAATCTAAAAATGCATGTGAGAATTGCGGGGCAGACTGCAAATAGTTCCATTCAGAAACCTCTCTTGATGCACTTCACGCTTTTATCAAGAAGGAAAGAAAATCTGCTTACCAGGATATCCATTTCCGTCCATATCAATGCCCCCTGATATGGACTGCCCAAACATCCGCAGAATGGGGTCTATCTTCCGCCCAGACAGTTTCTGAAACACACAGGAGGGAAATCGGATCACCAGGAAGGGGTCAGAGGCTCAGGTAAGACTCTGTGCTGGAGCCCCACGGGAGGGGCTCACGACTTCCATCCCCGCTACTCGGTAGACGGGTATCTGAGGATTGCCGTTCAAGGAAGCCCAGGCAGTAAAGTCCATGAAACTCTGACCTCCAGTGAACTAGCCAGAGGGTGTGTGCACCTCAAATGGTCGAGCAGAGAAGTGAAGGGCAAGCACCCAGGCCCTGAGCTCAAGTCTCAGCAATGGCACTCACACATGGAAAGTTTTATGTTTTTTTAAAATTTCACCCAGATATTTATTTCTTTTCATGAATTGTATTTTGGAAGCACATTTTTTACTGTGTAAGAAATAGTACAGGGGCTGGGAAGGTGGCTCAGTGGTAGAGTGCTTGCCTTGTATGCCTGAGGCCCTGGGTTCGATTCCTCAACACCACATAAGCAAAAAGAAAAAAGCCGAAGTGGTGCTGTGGCTCAAGTGGTAGAGCGCTAGCCTTGAGCTGAAGAGCTGATGGACAGCTCAGAGTTCAGGCCCAGAGTTCAGGCCCCATGACCGGACCCCCCCCCAAAAAATGAAAAGAAATAGTACAGATGAAGGTGTTTCATCACCGTATTTTCTTGCTGGGCACTCGTGGCTCACACCTGTATCCCAGCTACTCAGGAGGCTGAGATCTGAGGACCATGGTTCAAAGCCAGCCCAGGCAGGAAAGTCTGTGAGACTCTCATCTCCAATGAAGCACCAGAAAACCAGATGTGGAGCTGTGGTTCAAGAGATAGAGTGCCAGCCCTGAGCAAAAGATCAGGGACAGCACCCAGGCTCTGAGTTCAAGACCTACAACCAACCAAAAAAGAAAAAAAAATAGAACTTTGACAGCCAAGAATGCTAACATAGCAGTCAGTTGTGGGTTTGTCTGGCTCTCTCTCTTTTTCTCTCCCTCTCTACCTTCCCTCTGTCTGTCCCTCTCTCCCTTCTTTGCCAGTCCTGGGTCTTGATCTTAATATGAGTGCCATCCCTGAGCCTTCTTCCTTTTCTTTTCTTTTCTTTTTTTTGCTCAACACTGGTGTTCCACCACCTGGGCCACGGTGCCACTTCCAGCTTTTTGTGGTTCACTGGAGATAAAAAGAGTTTCACGGATGTTCCTGCCCAGGCTGGCTTTGAACCAGGATCCTCAGATCTCAGCCTCCTGAGTAGCTGGGGGGACCGACACCCGGCTCAGGGGCTTGTGGGTTTAAGACAGGCCTGTAGCTTGGATTGAGGGAGAGGGGACGGGAGTCCATTGGGGGAGGGGTGCAGATTTCAGTTGTCCAGGGCCGTCTGCAGGCCGTTATACTAGAACACCAGGAAGATAAGCCGTGCTGTGCTAATAACCCTAAATGAAAACCAGAAATTGTGGCGCTCGACTGTGGTTTATGTGCCTTCTAGAAAGATCACAGGCACTGCCAGTGCTCAGCCAGGGGGTTCCCAGGTCAAAAGGCGTGGGAGGCTCCGAATGTCAACATCTCTCAGGGTAAGCTGGAGAGAGGGAAGCGAGGAAAGAGGACAGAGGGAACTGAGATTCAACATCACAATCGCTAAGGCGGGAAGAATGGGAAAGGGGGGGGCAGGCAAAGGAAATCGAGTGTCTCTGGATTTCTTCCTGCACACTGTGTCCACCCTGCCCACAACCTGGAGGGGAAAACTGTCACTAAAGGATGTTCACCAATCTTAAAATCATAGGCATGGTAGCCCTTGGAAATGAGTGCTATTGCCGCCTCTTTCTCCTCGTCCCTGTCCTCTCCTTCCTTCTCTCCTTTTTCCTTTTCTCTCTCTCTCTCTCTTTTTGTGCCAGTTCAGGGCTTGAACTCAGGGCCTGGGCGCTGTCCCTCAGCTCTTCAGCTCAACCACTCGAGCCAGAGTGCCACTTCTGGTTTTCTGGTGGTTCATTGGAGATCAGAGTCTTATGGGCTGCCTGGGCTGGCTTTGAACCTCCATCTTCTAGCTCTCAGCCTCCTGAGTGGCTGGGATGACAGGCATGAGCCACCAGTGTCCACCTGCTATTTTTCTCTTTTCTCTCTCCTCTCCTCTCTTTCTTCTGCCTCCTCTCTAGTCTCCTCTCTTCCTCCCTCCCTCTCTCCTCTCTTCATCTTTCTCTTTTTCCTCTCATGTTCTTTCCTCTTCCTCCTTTCCTGTCTCTCCCCTGTCCTTTATTCCCCTCATGCTTTTCTCTGCTCCTCTTTCCTTTTCTCTCTTTTCTCTGTCTTCTCTCCTAGTCTGTCTCTCCCTCCCTCCCCACTCTTTTCAAAGCTCCTCAAATCCTTTCCCCTGAGCAGGAGGGGAAGAGCCGGGATGGGTGCCTGCTGGCTGGGGCTTCTGGCAGCTCTCAGTGCAGATTTGACCCAGCAACCATACAGAACCCCAGGGAGCGGGAAGCAGGAGGCTGAGGTCCAGGAGGAAGGGTGGGACGTGCCCTGCCCTCTGCCCAGTAGTTTCCTGAGAGGTGTCAGCCTCTCCCTTGGGCCGGGCTCTGGGACAGGGCTGCAGCCATCATACCCCACTGGGAACGTCCACCTCGACTGTTCACATTAAGTGTAGGCACTGCTGCCGATCTTACTTGTAGCTAATGAAAAGAACATGGAGAGCCGGGGGAGAGCTGGGGCTGGGGCTCACACCCATCACCCTTACTAGCAGGAGGCTGAGATCTGAGGTCTGCCGTTCAGAGCCAGCCCGCACAGGAAAGTCTGTGAGACTCTCATCTCCAATGAACCACCAGAAAACTGGAAGTGGAGCTGTGGCTTGGCTTCCCTCAGCTATTTACTCAAGGCTGGCGCACTACTTCTTGAGCCAAACCTCTCCTTCCAGCTTTGGGTTGATCAGCTGGTCCTAGGTCTCTCCCAGATCTACCTGCCCGGCTAGCTTTGAACTGTGATCCTCTGATCAGTCTTTTCCCCGGTATCTGGGATGAGCACGTGGTGAGCACGTCTCCTCCAAGGGAGTCAACTGAGCTGAGCAATTGGCCAGCGGAACACCAGGCCCTCTGCCCCTTGCACACACAGATCTCACTCGCACTTACACGCTGCCTCTTATAACACAAGCGGACACAGGCAAGCATGAAGAGGAGGCGCGTGACTCTCTAAGGGTTCCGTAATAAAATGTGCTGATTGGATACTTCTGGTCTTTTCTGTCCCTGACATTTTGGGAAACACACATGCGCACACACACACATGCACACGCACAGTTAGCACCATGCCATATCCGTTTGTAAAATATCCTGACCATGCTTCCGTTGAGAGCCTGACTTCCTTTTTCCCAGGAGCCGTGCTGATCATCAGCAAGATGGATCATACAAGAGACTGACTGGGCCAAAGCCATAGCGGACCACGCCCATGTTCTCAGGCTGGGGCACAAAAGCCAGAGCGTATATCAGTCCTGAGCCTGCCACCTTGGCCAACTCTGATACCTGCCACCATCTCTCCAGATCTACATTCCCTTAGCTCAGCACAGAGATAGTCCACAGACAGCAATACAGAGAAAAGCCTGCTTCCTCCTTCTCTCCGGTACGAGTTCTTTGACCTATGATCTTCACACTTAGTAGGCAAATGTTTGTTCACTTAAGGCACACCTCTTTGGCCTTTCATTGTTTGTTATTTCCGATAGGGTCTCATGTTTTGCTGAGATCAGCCACAGACCGCAATACTCTATCCTCGGATCTCCTGCAGAGACTGGGTTACAGGTGTGAAACCACATTCAGCTTTTCATGACTGAGATGAGGTTTCAATTTTATTTTATTTTTACCTGTCCTGGGGCTTGAATTCAGGGTTTGGGCATTATCCCTGAGCTTCTTTTTTGCTCAAGACTGGCGTGCTACCACTTCCGGCTTTTTCTGTGTGGGGGGTGCTGAGGAATGGAACCCAGGGCTTCCTGCATGCTAGGCGAGCGCTCTACCACTGAGCCACCTTCCCAGTCCAAGCTTTCTCTTCTTAATAA